AATAATTTATAAATGTAATGACCGTTGGCACATTCGTGATGCAAAGCTTTCATACCAACATCCTTCAGATTACATTTCTGTCAGAAATCCACCATCGTCTATGCCAGTTTATAAGCTGTTTTTAGATCTTTACTATGATGATTTTGGTACATTTAGAAATGTATACCATTCCTTAGGTGGCGTCTATATACAGTTTGGTAACATGCCAATGCATCAAAAAAAGCTAATCAAGAACCATTTTGTTCTTGGATTTATTCCATTTGGCGGAAATTTTAATGAGTTTATGGTACCATTTGTTTCAGAAATAAAAAAATTTGAGAAAGGAAAGATTATGACTGTTCAAGAACAAGATGCATGGATAATTGCTGGGTTGGTCCTTGTTACAGCAGATCTACCTCAAGGTAATGATATGGCAGGAGTACTAAGGTATTTTTCAATTTAATTATTAATCTTAATAATATATTTTCATAACAACTATTAAAATGATTTAAATTTAAAAATCAATTTAGATATAATGCAAATAAAGGTTGCCGTACTTGTACAACTAAAAAGGAATTATTGAGTACCTATAATCAGGATAGTGTGACAATATTACGTTATCATCATATCACAGATGAAGAAATTTCAAAAATTTCTCAAGAATCTGTAAGTTCAAAAAGAGGACAACTTTGTACAGAATATGGTTTAAGATCATTACCTAGTATTTTGGATAAATTAAAATGTGAGAGACATTTACAGACGCCACAGGATATTTATCATGCCACCGCAGGAAAGATTGGGCGGCTACTAAAACTAACCTGTGAATTATTTTCACAAGAAGGAGAGGATGATTTTGTTAAAATTTGGAAAAATTTTGAAATTCCAAAAAAGTGGTCTCGTCTACTAAATTCAATTAGTCATTACAATAGCTTTATGATGTCTGATCTTCTTAGACTAGCTATGATTATGCCATTTTTATTAAATCGATTTTTAAAGGAATCAAGCCTCAAAAATAATGAAGCAGCCACTATTTGATAAAGGATTGATGTGGCTCGAATTAGCTTAGTGCTAAAAGCTATTATATCTTGTTGGGTACAAGTTGCAAAGACTATGAAAGCAGTTTTTAATAAGGAATTTACATTAGATAGCTATGAGGAATTACAGCTATATCTTAAAGAAGAGTTTTTAATTCTTCCAAAGGTATAATTATAAATTTGAAATTCAGAACATGGAATAATTCAATAATTAACAATATTTTGTTTTTTTATAGGTTTTTGCAAGTTTTGTTAACTTACAAAATATACATATTAATATGCATATTTTGATGCATGCTAAAACTTTTGGTACACTTGTCAACTCTCAGGTTGGTATAAAAGAGATGGTTCATCGTATCTTTAAAGGAATGATACCAAAAACTAATTGCAAAACTATAGACCTGGATTTATTAAAATGTTACAATACTTTATTTGCAATTCGAAATTTAGCAGATGGAGGTATAGATCCAAGATTAAATAGATCTTGTACTGGGTTCACAAGTTCAAATTTTGATCAATTATTTTCGAATTGGTATGTTACAGAAGATAAATATTTAATTGAGGAACAAATTCAAATGATGACGTAAAAGGTAAGATAGCAAAATATTATAGTACTTCATATTTATTTTTTCACATATGCATTACTGGTAAAAAAATGGTCTATCCTACACATATCCTACATATATTTTACATATATCAGGTACTCAAAATGTAGAAAATCATACACAAATAATACACATATCATATACATATCGGGTACTTATATATATAATATACCTATAAGGTACCTGATATATGTATGATATATATATTAGTACCAAATATGTGTATGATATGTGTATTATTTGTGTATGATTTTCTACATTTTGAGTACCCAATATGTGTAAGATATGTGTAGGATAAATCATTTTTTTACCAGTGCATAATATTTACTAATCTTTTAATTTAGTTGCTTTACCAGTAAATTTTATTTCCAATATTTCCTTAAAAAAAAGAATGTCAAAGCAGGAACATGATAAACTTCTCTTGACTTTGCATAATTTTAAAATTGAATTGTTTTTATCTTATGTGGATATAAAGTTTGAGGTGGCACTTATAAATTCTTCAATTAGTTGGTACAAATTAGCATCATATACAATTGAAGAAAAAATGGTATTCTTTCAAAAGTTCACCTACATCTCGGTGATTTTATCACAATTTATGAAGAAGATCATGAAGAATCTTATGCAATAATCAAAAGTATCTTTCAACATAAGGGTAATAATAACAAATATTATGCATTTATTGTTGTAGATTGGTTTGAAGATACTATGGTTGAACATTCAGTATTAAAATGTCCACTTTACCGTCTTCAAGCAACAGGAG